GCACACACTGACCTTTCCTCCCTTCCCCTCTCCTCCCTCCCRCCTCCCCCCATGTTTAATTAGGTCCATGATATAGATTGGTGCTAATTAAAGTGTCAAAAGGGCRTGAATAGTTGCTTATTTTATCTCCTTGAATTAAAAACCATTAAAAATCAATTTGAGGGCATGTTGAAGGAGGCTTGTTATTAGAGTAAATTAACATAATGGAATTTAAGCCTTTGTCTTGTAAGGGTTGGTTAATGTTTAAAAAGCCAGATTCTACACCTAAAATAACCCCCCCGGTTGGTATGCTATGTATTTCAATAAATCTGTACATATTTAGTTAGATGACATAGAATAACTGCTTCGTCACTTTAGGTGTTGCTGATAGGACTCACGTATCTTCTGGAAGAGTAATTTTCTCTTTTCCAGATTTAAAATGGAAATTCCTGATTGCAGGTGACACTTAACGTAACCAGCTTGCCAAAGGACAGGACAGATCTGGGACCATCCTCTCAGAACCAAAGCTGCATTAGATTCCTTAATCTGGTATTAGGTTCCCTAATTCACACTACTTAACATAGTGTTTTGTTTATTAACTGTATTCTTAACTTATTTAATTAGCAATTATGAAGTAAATCTTACCCAAAACATAAAGGTGCTGTGGTTTTGCAGAGAATGTTATGCATAAAATTAGCTGCTGAGAAGAACAATGAAGAGTGAGAAAAGATTATTCTATCTTTATGTAATATCTTAAACAGCTTTTAATGTTGAACTGCTGATAAAACATGAGGCTTGTGYAGGGGCAGTGCTGTATTTTGGCAGTGCTGTTTGTGTTTACAGAAAGGAGGGATGGTGCTGCTCTGAGTTCCTGCATCCCATGACTGGGCCGTGGTGAGCCAGCTCAGAGCACATCTGAGCTCTCAGATGGAATAATAAGCTGAGTTCAGTACTTGCAATTGTGTTATGAGCACAAGAAATAGGCTTCAAAATATATGTATGGAAAAGGAACAGATGTCTTAAGCCTTTTAATGAGTTTCCTTCTGGATTATGTAATCATTTAGAATTTTTTTTTTATTTGCATCCTGTACATTTCTCCTCTGGAGACAAGAGTCAGAGAGCAAATACATAAATTATAATGGATGCTGTTCCCTGAGTATTTATTGGCGCTGAGAACCCAGCTCACAGTAGCTCACTGTCAGTGTGATCTATTCCTGCTCTGGGACTGAAGGTGGTCACTAATTGCTCTTTTCAAATCCATGCCCACTGTACTTGTGCTGAGTGGTGCATGGGCTTTGAAGGCAAAGAAGATGGTTCCTGTTGTAAGAAGTTAATAAATGTTGTTAAAAGGCTGGGTGTTGCTTTGCTCTTCATGGGGTTTTTTGGCTTGTCAAATGGAATTTTATTTTAGATACTAAGAAAATGAGGAGCTACCAAGAAAGGATGTGGGAGTTGACTGTGCAGAGGACTTAGCAATGCATGAATTTAGCAAAACCCCACATCTGCTTCAAAAATAGGAACAAACAGTCAAAAATGGACACGGAAATTTGCAGCAAATGAATAATTTTCATTATCTCTAACTTGTATGATAGAGTTTTGATGTCGGGAAAGTAAGAAATGAGCATTCAAACAGGTTGGAGCCGATGTACTTGGATTCAAAATTTTTATGATTTATGATTTGGCAAAATAATATTTATTCCTTTGTGTTGTGAGGTTCAGTTCTCTGAACTTTCCAAGTGCTGCAGTGTCTGCATCCTGAAGTTTATTTAGTGCCCTGTCCTGGATGCCAAGAGGAGAAATTGCAATTGTCCCACACGGTTCCACACCCATGAATCAGGAGCTCCCTGACCTGCTGAGACAGCAGTCTCCTTAACCTTGCTAAATGTCAGAGAAAGAAGTATGAAATCTGTGTCATTTTACAGGGAAATTTGAAGGTCAGACAAATTGTAGGCCAGTTGGGAAATAAAAAAATCTGTTTCTCACAGCTCAGTTTGAGGAGCTGCAGCGTAATGGCTTCAGGAGAGCTGTGGCTGCTTTGATTTTTCACTTGCTGCCTCTTGGAACTGTTTGGTGCTGGGGCTCCATCTTCTCTGAGGTGTGAATGTGTCCAGTGCCAGTCCAGGGGGCTCGGAATGGGCTCTCAAACTGGGCACCTTCTGCAAACTCAGGGGAGAATCTGAGATTGGTGCTTTCATCTTGGAGGGGATTTGTGATTGTTGTGGGATTAAACAGGAAAAACGTGCATTGGCACGTGAGAGAGAGCTTTTCATTTATCTTTGAGGTGCTTTGTGTACATAGAAGAGCAAAAAATGCTGCCTCAACTAATGTATACCTGTGGCACGATGGTATCTAAATGAAAATTTAATAGGAGAACTGTACCAAGAAAATATCTAAGAGTAAGATTAAGAGAAACTGGAAAAGCTCTATAYGAGCACTAACCTGGAATTGGTTTAAATAAAGATCAGGTGTTAGTAACAATATCGTTGAGAATACTCTTTTTCCCAGCTGAATCAAATATTTAAGGAAAAAGTGCCTCTGATTTTATTTTTCCTTCTTACGGTATGTAGGTAAGTGTTAAACTGAGATATCTGGAGCTAAATCTAGCAATTTAAGTAAAAAATATGTGCTCCAGACTCGAAGGGCTGTGCCTGGCATGGCTGTTCCCTGCTGCAGATCCTTTCCTCCACCTTCATCCCAGCTGGCAGCACCCATGGGCAGCATCTCTGCGGTGGCAAACCCCAGCTGCTTTCAGTAACGCTCCCTTTGAGCTCAGCTATTTGAACTTCCTTTGGGCTCACAATTTGTGTGAGATCAGGCCCTGTTTATTTGATGTGCTGGCTGYGTCAGTGTTATTCCTGTGTTGTACCTCTGCAGAGCCACAGATCATTGTTGCAAATGTGGTTCGCAGCAGATGAAGTGGTTTGTGTTTTATGTTCCACTGAAAACTGGCAGCAGGGTCAGACAGTTTTACCAGAAGAGGTAAATTATATGCTTTCATAGCTCAGAGAGAGAGATCACACCACATACATTTTTGTGGTTAATGTCCACTTTGGGGATAAAATTAATTTTTCATGCGTGTTTTGAGGAGGCAGAGTTGAAACTCTTAGCATTTTAATGTCATTGGGGGATTGTCTCAGCCTCTGGCTATGTTAAATGGGACTAATAATTTCAGCTAATCAGTGTCTTAACAACTTCTGAAAAATGGAAACTAGTTTAGGAGTGATGTAGAGAGAAGTTTTCCACATTAGTGGAATGCTGGGCAAATGCTAATGAACTTTGTACAGTTTCCACTTGTGTTTGGAGAGAGGGTCTCCTAAGGTCACCACAGCAAGTTCATAGTAATGAGTCCCACGCTGAAGCAAATTGGGAAAGCCTGTATACGTTTCTACATTTCAAAGTAGGGCTACAGATGTCATGTGAAACATGAGTCACTCAGTTTGTTTCAAATTTTTTTATATTAGATTTTTGTTCGAGAAGTGTTACAGAAGACARCTTTGCAGCTGAAAGTAACTCCAGAAATAGCTAGGGAAGCCGTGGAACTTGAGGCTGATAGTTGGTGAGGCTTTTAAGAGTAGTTTTTATCCACTTGAGACAACATTGGCATCAAGAAGCCTTTAGATCTCCACATGGCTTCATCATGGGTAAAACTTTTAAAAGAGTAGCTTYTATTTTCATCAATAGTTTGCTTTTTTTTTTGTTCACACTTGTTTAATAAATCTCCTGCTGCTGGGCCAAATCCTACCTCAGTGTGTCATGTGAATCCATTCTTTTAATTTTCCTCTAAAGGAACCTTTCATCTTTGTTACTCTTGGGACTGATTTGTGATTAAAAATCATCTTCAAAAAGAAATACTTGATAGAGGACCAAGAGCTTCAGAAGGAAAAGGTGGAAGAGACCCTGTGTGCTTTGTAGCTTGGCTGCTCYCCCTTTAGAAACTGGGCTCTCCTAACCCAGCTCAGACTTTGGGAAGGGCCTTTCTAGTTAGATTGGAAAAACAAACCAGCAAAACTTGCCATGGTTTGCTCAGTAACTCTGTTCCAGAGCTGTTTTATCATTGGGAGCTGCTCATTCACTTGTGTGTGTCTGACACAGTCCTAAGGTTGCTCTTTCTGTGAGTTCCATTTGAGGCTGGTCCTTTTAAATGAACCTTTAGGCTCCCAATGAAGGGAGCACATTGCTTTCCATAAAACCCTTTGCTTTCCTTCATCTGCACACAATCAATGGATAAATTATTTGTTTGTGTACATCCTGAGAGGAAACAAATGCTTCTGATCAAACCACCAGGTCCCTYAGCATATCCAGGAGCCTTGCAGGGCATCAGGTTCTGGGAATTAACCTTTGAGCTCCCAGATACTTTCCTATGATGAAAATGTGTCTTTTACATCCCTCAGTGCCCATTAGTGCTGAAAATGAGGATTTGGCARGCATTGCTAGGGTTCTGTGGTTGGGGGTGTGTTTTGTTTCTTAATTGGGTAATTCMAAGTGAAATGATAAATAGCTTAGAAAGGATTTTTTGTATGAACTATCAGCCTGAGTAATGTGCATATACCTGGCTGCCCACACCTAATCCAAGGTGCCTTTTAATGCCRTGGCCTTGAGGCTTTTCAATCTTGGCAATTTCCTTTTAAATTCAGCACCAAAGTAGTGGCTGTTCCTTTTTCTATGTGCAATTTAAGCAGCAGTGTTGTCACCCTTAGCCACAATCCTCCATTGCTGGTCTGTCCTGAGGACTGCTGACCATTGTTTCATCCCTAATGAATCCATTTAATGTGGCACATGTTTTCCTGAGTTATTTCACAGTAAAATAAGCATGGTGTTTTTCATTTCTGTARCTTACCTGGAGATGAGGAGAAGGCAGTGTTGTGTTTTTGGCAGCAGCCACTGCTGGAACAGGAATGTGCTCCTGTTGAATGCTGAAATGGACTTTTTTGGTGGATGAAATAAAATATAACCAATCCTTACCAGCTTCCTTTTGAGTGGAGCATAGAAATAAATGAATCCCTTTGTTATTTTTGGCACAGGGTTCCAGATTTTGTGAGGGAGAAGCGCTTTGGGAACTGGCTGAAGGATGCCCGGGACTGGGCCATCTCYCGGAACCGCTACTGGGGGACCCCCATCCCTCTGTGGGTCAGCGAGGATTTGGAAGAGGTGAGTGAGCAAAGGAATGGTTCCAGCTGGCAAAAAAACCTGTCTGTACACGTTGTTTGCTTATTTTGGTGTGTGTTTGGCTGCTGCATTCTGAAATTCCATTAACACGTTTTAACAGCATATCTGTAGAACATATCTATATGTATATAATAGGTGATAGATTGATGCATATTTATGGGTGCATTTGTGTGCCTGTACAGGTTTTCTTTGCTTCTGCTTGAAAAAACTGCAAGCAATTTTTCTTGGTTTTTACATTAAAATTAATCTTGTCTTTCCCAGAAGAATTTGCAGTGAAGGCAAATCTAAAGGAAATAATAAATGCRGTGAGAAAATGGCAAGGAGGGGAATTTTTTTTCTTTTAGTAATTCAGTCCTTTCAGTCTGCTTATGAAATTCTGGTGGTTGGTTACTTCAAGCCAAATGAGTTGCTGAAGGCATAAAAGCAAGTCCACCACAGCAGAACAGTGAAGATACATTTTTGTAGTACCACAAATGTGAATGTAGCAGACTGTAAAAATATGAATCGAGTGGAATRATGAAAATCTATAATGGGACTGCTAGAAATGAGCTTTGTCAAGCTGTAAGGTRCCCTGCACTGGGAGCATAATGCAGAGGTCATGAGTGAGCACTTTACACAATTTTGATGGCTTTAAAACTCCTGAAGAGAAAGTGAGTTTTGGGGTTTTTTTTTTGTGTATTGTTTTCCTATTTTTTTTCTTTTTTTGTATTGGTTAGTTGCATTAGACACGTATGATAAGCCTGTCGCATGCTGGAGGTAGGAAATGATAATCAGAGTCAGGATGTCCACGGAAGGTAAATACTGATGGCAGCATCCCAAAGCTTTATTTTTATCTCTCTTGATTTGAAAAAGTTTTACTCTTCATTTTAGACCTGAAAGACCTCGAGTAGGAAAACATCTGCTAGAGAAGTRTTTTATGATCTTAAACTTGCTATTGCTTAGATGTGCACCATAAAGCATTTTTTATTTCCTCTTCACTGRGAATCTTGGTAGGCAGGGAGATATAGGGAGAGGGAGGGAGATACTCCTGCAATTAGGATTTAAGTGCCTAAGAAAACCTTGGCATTTGCTTTCCATTTATGCTGTGTGTTTGTAAATTACTGACAAACCAAGTGCTTCTGTCTCYCATATACTGGTTGAAGTTTTAAGTTTGCAGGCTGACAATTTATATACTTTTTTTCATGTTCATCCAACATTTCTAAGTTCCTTGTTTGATACAGCAGTTTTTTTTTTTAGGTAATAAAAAGGCTTTCAGTTTTGTGCCTGGGTATTTCATTCTACAGCTGAAAAAGATTGTGTAAAGGTTTCATTACCTCCACTCCTTGCCTCTAATAATATTTCATTTTCTGTCCAGTCTCTCCATATCTGTATTCCTGAGTGTACAGTTTTTTTGCTTTTCTAGGTTTGATTTGTTAGTTTTTAATAACAAAATGATGTCTAACTTGGAAGATTGACCTTTCCTTTGAAACGAGCTGCAAATATTCCTGGGGGCTGAATAATGATGGAAATACCAACAGGTCTATTATTTCTATCCATAGATGTTACACATTTCTATTTRCTCCAGAGTCTGAATATTGTGCTTTAGTAGCTGAGCACAGCTTCTGAACCAAGCTAAATTTCAAGTTAGGTTTTTTTTCTTTAATATTCACTCTCWTTTTTATGCATGGGATATAYGGCTTGAAAAACAAATACCAGTTCAGGGTTTGTTTTTTTTTTAATATTCACTCTCTTTTTATGCATGAGAGATAYRGCTTGARAAACAAATACCAYTGGAACTGATGTGGAACTTAAAGCCTAGGTGACATCTGCTCTCCCAGTGATGATATTCCCTGAGAATTCCCTGACTCTGGTTTTACTGCAGCCTGGTGCTGTGTGGGATTGCAGAGCAGTCTCTTCACWTCTTGCTCTCAGAAGAACACTTTGTTGCACGCAGTTATGCTTTGCATATGAAATCCTGGAGAAGTAATAACAATTCCTTATTTAATGTACAGTAAGGTGAATTAATTGGTATTAAAGTGAATTGTATTACAAATCAATAACTGGTTTCACACAGTTTTATTTTMGTTTTCTTTTAGCATAATTATCAGGTAGAGACACATAATGGAAGTTAAATTTTGAAGTTTGTGTTTATTGCCTCATTTTTGYAGACAGTTTATCATTTTAAACTTTCAAATTCCAGTGATTTCCTCAGTGGAGGAACACATCTCATTTGGATTAGATAATAAAGTTTTTTAATATAATCCCTGAGCTGGTAAAGCAGACGTGGGCTCATTTTATAGGACTTGCATACAAATTATAGTGTTTTCAATATTCAGTGATGCTGTGAAAGGTCTCTGATTGTTTTCTGGGGTGTCCCTCCTGTGGACTCTGCCCTAGGCTGGGTGCCCTCAGTCTTGCCCAGCAGAATGAGAGGACTCTGGCTCTGCTCCCCTAAGGGTGAGGGAACCTCTCCAGGTCCATTTCTGGGCTGTTTTGGGGCTGCATTAAGACCCTTCTGGCTGACTGTAGCACTCATTTCTCCTATTTAATATTCATAAGATGCTTCCTGGACATCCCACAGTGTCTTGCTGAACACACTACGTGGGCTTCTTCCTTTCTGTGGGCACTCCTTACTCCTTGATTGTGGCACTGAACAGAGCTGAAATCCAAACCCACAGAAAACAAACCCTTTTATTTAGTAGGGACTGCAGAGCTGTGCCCCAGGAGCGTGGAGATACTGCTGGATGGCTTTGTTCTCCTGTTGTCATGGATAGTGCTGGGTCTAAAGTTAATTTTCATTTTGGTAGCAGTGGGTAACCTGGACCTCTGCTTTCACAGTGGGTGGTGCTCAAACAGGGTTGAACAGCTCCCAACCTGTTTAGTTCAGCCTTTGCTGCTGTTGGTGGAGTGGTTCTGTAGGAACCACAAAACCTKGATGTGAACCACAAAATGGAAGAGGAGCAAATGCGTGGTAGAGAGGGGCCCAGGCTGTTCCAGCAGGGCTCCTGAAGGGATGGATCCAGAGCAGGARCTTTAATTGGAGAGCAAAAGCTGGTGTGTTCCTTGCAGAACGAGTGGGTGCGGYCTAATGAGGGATTGAATTTGATTAGCATCTATTTACTGCATCCTCCTCTTGCCTTTCAGTATCTAATGAGCTCCCCCTGGGACAGAGTAGCTCCATCCTCCTGCCTTGGACASACACAGCCTTATTCAGTGGGGAGATGTGTGTTCCTCTGGGGGTTGGTGGATTTTTCATGTGAACTTGGGTTTATTTCTTCCATGAGTGATTTCTGGGCACAGTTCTGCATCAATATTCAGAATTTGWCTTCAGCATTGAAGTGTTTTTTCAAAAAACAACAAATAATGAGCAGYTTTTCTCCCAGAGCTTAGTATGAAAGTATTTTCAAGTATAAAGGTTAGTGAAGGTGAATTAATTGGTGTGTCCAAGGGCATTTTTTACCCATTTCTCAACTGAAACCTTTTCTTCCTCCAGCATTGCTGAACTGAGCACCTGCTGCTGCTCACTTGAGTGTGTTTGCTTATGGGGCCACATGAATGGAGAGCAGATCTGGGTTAAAAATTGTTGATAAAGATGTATTTTTACCTGGGATCGATCCCCTGGTGTAGTTTGTGTGCATTCTGCAGGCTGTTGTACCTGGCTGGTGGAATCACTGTTCTGCCTCACTTCCTACAGAAAAAAAATAGAGAACTAATGAAAGAATTACATTTTAAAAGTACTTTAACAACAGAAGATGGTCATTAGTAATGCAGATCAGCAGTTGAATCAGACTGGGAAAATCATGTCTTAAGAGCCAAATCAGACTGAGTTTCCTTCTTCTCTGTGATTCATGGAATTTTTTTGGGAATTAAATACACCAAAACCTTTTAGTCACAATTTCCATGTGTATACATATGCATATATTTAAGACTAGCTATAGGAATTGAGCACTGCTCTGATTTTTTGTATCTTAAGAGCAACTTAGAAAGTTATTTCATTTCATGTGAAAAACGTCTGGCCTATTTACAGCTTCRTAGTGGTGCTACATTGAACTCCTTTCCCTGTCAGATCTGTCAAACTGGGTTTTTTTCATGGCAATTCTGAGTGGGACTGATGGCATGTGGSACAGCAGCTCCAAAATCCAGGCCTGTACTGCAGCTTGTGCTCCTGAATCCTGCCCCGTGAGAGAGGCCAGAGGGCTCAACTTGAGTAAAACCTAAAGCAAAGAGACCTTTGCTAATCTGCTTCTCTCTTAGAGTTTTTCAGAATCATTGTTTCATCAGCATTTCATGATGTCAGTGTAAGTTTGGTGTGGAAATCTGCTTTTTTCTCAATAATGTGTGGATGCAACAAAACCAAGAAAATATTTTTTAGTGACTCCATTGATAGGTGTGGCAGTTTCTTCACTTGAAATAAAAAACCTTTAACATGTACAGTTCAGTGTACCTGGGATGGAACACGTACATGGATCATGAGCTGCTCACTTTAGGGGAGGAACCTGGGATCTGAAACTCCTATTTCTATAAAAGTCAGCCATTGCATTTTCCGAGGCTGTTGGTTGTGGTTTGTTTGGAAAAAAAAACCCACAAAATCCCACCTTTTTTGATAACCTGCCAAGATGCTGCTGCTTCAGAGTCCCCAGTTCTTGTAACATGAATTGTATKAAATCTCTGGTCTCTAACATCATTTGTTGCTAAGTTAGATTGAGGAAGGAGACCCTTGTACACAATTTTTGTTGGCTTTTCAGCTCTGTCARCTACTCCAGGAGATACTGACTGACCTCTAAGTCTTCTGCCTGATGTTAAAAGAAATTGCTGCTGTGTGCAAATAACTGGCTAAATTTCCTGAATGTCTCTTGACAGGTGGTTTGTGTTGGCTCAATGGCAGAGCTGGAAGAGCTGTCTGGAGTCAAAGTCACGGATCTCCATCGAGAAAGGTGGGTCACACRGKCTGCTATTACAAATAAATGAGYAGGCATTWAWAAAAAAAMARMCAARAAACTTGGGTTTTTTTTYCCTAAGCTCTGGGAAACAGATTTAGGGAAAATTGAAGAATTTTAATAGGACTTGTGATTTAAGACATGCAATTTTTCCTTTTGTTCATTAATTGAACACTGTTAATACAAAAATTACAGAGATTAGTAAAAYKGAGGGTTAARCAGCTGTCACCAATGTGCTCCAGTRCTTCTCCTGAGTGCTGTTTTTGMYTGCTGGCTGTTTCTCCTGCAGCATTGACCAGCTGACCATCCCATCCCGCAGTGGGAAAGGTGCCCTGCGCCGCGTGCCCGAGGTGTTTGACTGCTGGTTCGAGAGTGGCAGCATGCCCTAYGCCCAGGTGCACTACCCCTTTGAGAACAGGAGGGAGCTCGAGGATGCTTTCCCTGCTGACTTCATCGCYGAGGGCATCGACCAGACCCGGGGATGGTAATGCTCTGCCTCTTCATTCTGWGCMGTTATTGCCTGCTGTCTGACTCCTYAATGCYTTATTTCATCATTAATATACTTATTTAACAGCATTTTACAATACTAAATTCATTTACTTCAATGCTTTTATATCTTTAATGCTCTACAGGTAAGTGTGTGATTGCCTTTTTAACCTAAAACACAAGGTAGCCTAAAGCTTGGTCACAAAAACTTGTAGAAATACAGTATTAACAAGAAATCTTATAGAAAACATAATTAGGTAATAGAGCACATCTTTGGCCTGATAAGGGAAAATCTCAGCAGCTGAATTGTCACAGAACTTGACTTATCTGCTAGAAACAGAGCTGCAATTGAGTCACTTGAAMTGCAAGTCAATATTTCGAGGATTTCAAGCCTAGTAATTTTTGCCTCAAGATTCAGTTTGAATTTTGGGTTTATATGAGTGTAGAAAAAAAATGAAACCTATAGTTTACAAAAAAACCCAAATACTTCAGCTGTAAATGTCATCTGCTTATTTCACTCTGGATAAATCCTTTTCAATCATTGGTGAAAATGTTTTTCAATTTTCTGTGGTTAATGCTCTCATACCTTCTTATATGCCTACATACAGTCTTAGTTTTAGCATTTTAAAGTGTTTAGTCCATGTTTGAAGTTTGAGGTTGACTGAAAATTGAGATTAAGATGAATTTTTGTGTTTTCTGGATTAGTGATCTTGACTATGTCCAAGCAGAACTTTTCCATCCAGTAACTTGAGGTATTAGAGCTAAATAAATTCTCTGGAATATCGTTGGCACTTCCTTTTGCCCAYTCCTCCACTCCCCCAGCAAACCAAGCAACCAAAGCAGGCAGGATGCCAATTACAACTAAATTTGTGATTGTAGAGAAAATTGTCTTCACTTTTCAACCCTGTATTTGTCATACAAAAAAATCATCTAAGTCCTTAATATACAATCACTGTTGTGTAGCAAAAGGAGAATTAAAAACTTATTTTTCCCTCTTTATTCTTTTTTTCTGGAAAAAAAATAGAAAATAGTGTTTTTTTTTTCTTTTTACCTCAGGTTACTCAGGATAAAGACATAACTCAGGATAAAGACATAAAATGCATGCAAAAGGGTGTGGACAGAAACTGATTTTCTCCCTGCTACATTTTATAAAGATCAAAGGGCACTTATTGTAATTTAGATGACAGAAAATGAAATTAAATAAAATAGTTCTACAATGTGATCRTTCTTACATAGTACAAGGGAGCTACTAAATGTAGAAGTTCAGCAGAATTAAAAATAGTTTGGGATTTTCATGTGGATACAAAATTCCTGGTGGTTATGAGGAAGGGAGGAATGCAGAGGTTTCAGTTTTAGGGTTTATCTGTTTGGGATTGGGATGGCACAGTGCTGGGTGTGTGGCACACACTGACTCCTGGCTGGGACTGAGCTGAGGCTCTGCTAACAGCAAGTGTTGGCTGGTTTGATCTCCTAGAAACAGGATCTGTTTTGTGAAAAGCAGAAGGAATTAAGATGTGAGGTCTAAGAGGAGAACGAGCAGGTGAGTTCTGAAGTGCTGAGAGCACAGGGTGTGATTTGAATTTGGCACATCCTGTGTCAAGTGTGAAGATTGAGAATGGGGATTGGTTTTGTGTCAGCTCTCAGACTGCAGCTGCTCTGAGGTGAGGGCTGGGAGTGGGGAAAGGCTCAGGAGGTGCAGGTTTGGTGGCTTCTGGTTCACTCCACAGAGGAGGAGAAAAAATCGAGGGAGACAAGGGGAAAATTAATGTGACAGAGGTGATTGTCTGGGAAAGTGATATTTTTAATGACTTTCTGCATGGATAGAGAAACAGCTGAGTTATATTTGTTAAAGCCACAGGACAAAATCTTCGAGCAGCTGGGCTGCAGGGCTGGCAGTGCAGGGACAGTGGGAGGAAAGGCTGTGTCTCTGGCTGGGTGTTGGGAAATGCAGCATGGATTTACAGTCGTGGTCAGAATGAATCCACAGCTGGAGGTTTTGGTGTGAACCACAGGATCGTGAATTYACCCACAGCTGTTCGAGGAAAAGGAGAAAAGATTCCCTCCCTGCTTTCTCCAAAGTGGAAAATAGMGCAAAGAAGTGGATTTTTGTGTCTGTTAAGGGTTTTTAGTGCTGTTTGACTGACAGCTCTTTATCTGCAAGGGCATACCCAGAAAYGGACTGAGATYTGGTGAATGGAAGGTGAAGCAGCARAGAAAYWGAGSAMGTTTTCTRGAAACAAAWGTGTCTGTGGACAGGATATTTCAWAAATRAGGTSCAGAAAGACACTYCTTTAAAATATTCAGAGTGAATKAGGTGAATTTTAATAGCACAACCTGTGGAAGAATCAGAAGAGTTCCATCAGAATATGTGGATCACAGGTTCTCAAAGACAGTCTTGTAGCTGTCATCAGCTAAGGTACCTCGCACTGAGGCTCCTTGGGTTTGACAATCTGAACATAAAATTAGTGAACTACCCTTGGATGCATTTTCTCAGTGCCCACAGTCTGCCTGTACCATTTTCCTTATACAGGGAATTAGGAATCCTGAACAATCCTGAAATCTCTCCTAGTTTGTTCTGCTTTGTGCTTTTTGCCTGCAGATGCAGGTGCTCTAACATGAGAATTTGTKCCCAGTTTGCAAAAAGTGCTTGGGGTTTGTCAATGAGGGACCTTTTAGTAAATACTGAGGAAAAACTGCTGTGGTTGTAATGAGCTGTCAGCCCTGGAGGCTTGAGGTTCAGTCATTGGGTAAATACTCAGATATTTGTGTTTAGGGGGTTTATTAAGAAAGTTAAAAATCAAGACAGGGATTTTGAGTGCAAGTGTTTGTGTGCAGGTGCAGGAGYATTGGTCAAAATTCATGAAATTAAAATGTTGTTTAATAAAGAGAATTTGTATCCTGCAGTGTGAGTTGAGGTGATTTTGAGAGTTAAGGGCTTGTCTGAGATAAGCATCAGATTTGTCATGGAAGTCACTCAATAAATGCACACAGCTACCTCTGCAGAGGACCCTCAAGTGTCAAAATAATGCTTTTGCAATTATAGACTGCTTTTTGATAAAAACAACTGTGGAACATACAGATGGATATTTTTTCTCCCCCACTGACGTGTTTCTCCACTAAATCTTCATGCAAATATGTAGTTGTGAGACATAACCTCCTGTGCCTTATTACAGCTTTTTTATAATCACCTTCCCTTTGAAGGTTGCTAAGCAGTTGTCAGTGTGATGCCTGTTTTGAACAAGGAAAGCTGTGGCCCACCCTCCAGTTACTTTCTTAAAAGTAATTACCAGCAGTGCAGTTAGAGCAGCTCACACATCCCTCCTTTGGTGAGGGCTCTGGCTCCTGAGTGTGAAATTATCACATCATCCTGCACTTCCACTTAATTTCCCAGATATAATCATAGATCACCCTTGTGAACAACAGGTGCCTGTGCTTGCTGCAGCACTGATTTCCAAAGTGTCCCAGTTTATGGAGTGATTGCAAACACATCCAGTAGAGTGGGGAGGAACCACTGCTGCCCTTTGTTGTGGGAACATTCTCGTATTTCCTGGGATGGCTGATTTCAGCAGGTAACCACAGCCTCCTTCCACTCAAACCTGTGCTGGATTGGAAGGAGGCTCCTCTCATTTTTGATAACTTGCTTTTATCTTTCATGCTGTGTTCCATTGTCAGTCAGCCTGAAGAATACATAATTAACACACACACACAAAKTGTGCTGCTCCTGTTTGGTCCTGACTGATCCCATGCTCAGAGCTTTGTAGTGAGCAAGTGGGAAATTTGTTCAGGGGCAGAATTCCCTTTTTTGTATTAAAGAGGGAAATGCTGCAATTTGCTTTCTCATGACCTTCCTAATGCTTCCTATTAGAATTTTTCAGCCTCCTTGGACTACAGATTCCAGCTGAGCAAACAGCATGATAWGCTACAAATAGGAAGATCTACTTGGAATAAGCTCCTCTTCTGACTCTGTGCCACATAAATGTTCCCCAGACTTCAAATTCTACCYTTGCTGGAGGAAATCAGCATAATGAAACATTTATTTTGTAATGAAGACATGCAGACTTCAGCTTGGTGTATTTCTAAAGTCCCATTTGTGTTGTCTCTTGTTTCAGGTTCTACACTTTGCTGGTGCTGTCCACTGCTCTTTTTGGGAGGCCTCCTTTCAAGAATGTCATTGTGAATGGCCTCGTCCTTGCCAGGTTGGTGTCAATCAGCTCCYTCCTGAGCAGCCTTTTAGTCAAAGCATGTTTCAGATAAGTCCTGCAAATTGTAAATGGAATCTGAAATGGGCTTTGGAGCTGTTAAGACTCCAAAGGGTGATATCAGTGTACAGGAGATAAGAGGCACCTGAGAGTGAGAGACTGACACATCCCAGCTCTCTGCTGCACTGGGTTCTTTCCAGCAGGATTGGTCCAGCCTGGAGAGAGAGAAAATGAATAACAAGARTAGGAAAGAAATTACAGCTGTTATGCAGAGTAAAGGGAATGATAAATGGAGTTTCAGATGTAATTTTAAGTTAATTATGTTTGTTTCCATTTATTTTCGAATGAAGCTTTGCCAGTGGGGCTGGAGGGATTGATTCAAAGCTAGTGCACCTTCCCTCAGCTGTAGTAGGAAAGACAGATTTCCTGCTTAGATTTGTAACTTGGGAGCCTCTTGGGTTGGGTTTTGGTTTTTTTCAGCTGCTCCTGTGGGTTCAGCAGTCATACAGAAACAATGTGCTAATGTATAGAAGTATATAATTAGGTCTGTGCCACCAAGAACRTAACAGGACAGAAAAATTGAGCTGGATTTGCAGGGCCTTTTTTTTTGTCCATGTTTTACAAGAGTTCTGGGAATTGATGCCTACATTCTGCTGTTTTCTAGTGATGGCCAAAAAATGAGCAAAAGGAAGAAGAATTACCCCGATCCCATGACCATTGTGGACAGTTACGGGGCTGATGCTCTCAGGTAGGATTTCCTTGGTGGCTGTTCAGTGTGGTGTGCTTGGTCCTTGCTCAGGGCAGATCCACCAAGAGGCTGCTGGAGGGGTTTGACAGCAGCAGGAAGAAAGTTCATTCTAGAAGCTTCTAGACCACTGTGGCAGCCAAGCAGCTGCAAGAGTGAGTGATTCCAAAGAACTGGCAATGGGTGTGGTGCCTGGGCTCTCCTTACCCTTGTTATGTCTCTCTCAAACCCAAGCTGATGTGTTCCCACCTGCACTGAAAATCCAAGTTGAACCAGTGAAAATGTGAATAAAATATTTGATAAYAATACTGCAAGGTCACTGTTAAATCATTGTCTTAGAGAAGGGTCATTGTATAATGCACAAACATTTGTTTGCTGTTTGTACCACACTTTTTCAAGAGTGRAAGTGCTTTGTTTTTGTTGATTTGAATATATAATTTGCACCTGATAGTAGTGGAACTAGAAGAGCAGGAGTGGAGCAGCCTAATGTGTGCAGATAAATTGTCCTGGTCAAACAGAGATTAAACACAGTTCAAGTGGTTCATTAAAATTAMAGGAACATATAAAGTAATTACACAGTCACTTGGTACTCTGGCTTGGTGCACTGAMTACATGCATCGAGTGGTACCTTGAGGTAAAGGTGCAATAAAGACATTTTAATAACTGCAGGAATGCATTGCTTGGGCATTCTCTAGAGCCCTGTAATTCTTGTGTATATAAGAAAACCTCCATCTCACACATTGTGTGTGTTACAGCAGCACACACAACTGATGGGCTGCATGAAAGCTGAATGTTTACTTGGGGAAGATGGTTGTTGCTTCTAGATAATTWTAAAAAATCAATGTGAAGTTCCTAATTGTTTCAAGCTTGAGCATTTAAAAGACCTAGCACATKTTGGGTGGAGTTCTTAAATTTAATCAAGATTGTTCTTTGCAAATAAACACGGTGTGTTAGCGGGGTAGCAGGGAGTTGGTAGCTGCAATAATAAGAGTGAAAAGGGTTGGAATTACTCATWCTGGAGATTTTTAAATTGCAGGTGATGTTTCTATTGGAAAAAAACCCTGCCTTTTTTATAAACAAACCAAAAAAATCTCAAACCCCAGAAGTTACACTTCCATTATTTATGTGGTTATTTTTTTTTTAATTTCTAAAAAGCTAATTCATTTTTCTGCCAGTGTACTCATTCTTTAATGTCACATTTATTTATACCTACACCCACACAGAGAGTAAAAAGCATTGCAGCCTGGGCTCATTTCTGGAAGGAGCTCTGCAATTCACTTCTCTCTTTTTCTGAGGCGCTTGATGTTCTCTGTTTATAGCAAAAGCTACAACTGAGGTTTTTTCCTTGGCACTGTTTCCCTGCAGAGTTACTTTAGCTTTTGCAGTRCACAAATATATATATGTATATTTTAACTCCAGCTTTGAAGTATTCTCAGCAGTAGCTTGATAAATAGATCAGCAGAAAATATAGATATAAGTTGGTGAAATGAATATGGAATTGAGTAGAAAGGGCAAACAGCAGAAATAACAGTGCAGTAAATTTAACAACCCAAYTTGAGACTTCATGAAACTTGAATCCTGAGTGAAATTTTTAAGAAGGGCCAAAACAGTTACATTTCAATATTGCTGAGRCTTGGGCTGGAGACCTGTCCAAGTTGAGCTGTGTCAGAAAGAATTTGCTGGTCATGGCATTTCTAAGGCTTTCCACTGTTCTGGGGTAAGGATTCCTGTTAGAAGTGAGGAGTTCCATCCTCCTCTCAACCTGATCTTAAAATGCAGAAGGAATAACACAGCAAGCTGCTGGTCTAGAGAAGTGAAGAGGAGATGATTTTATTTTTTCTCATACATTGTTAGCAAACTCGCTAACACTGGCTTGATTTGAGGAAGGTTTTATTTTCTGCCCTGTAGGTAGCTGAATGGATAGAACTCTTCCTTTATTGTATGTCTTATTTATCTTTCCATAAAAGAGATTTATCTTTGCATTGGAGTAATTGAGGAAATTGYTCTTCTTTTAACATTTATTTATTATAGGGCTGCTTTATTAAAAGAAACAAAAAAAAAAACCCCTCAGAAAACAATACAACACCACCAAAACTGGCACATAAGTAATTGTGATGGAATGAAGGCATGGTTTAAGGGAAGACTTATAAATTCTAGTTTCATATGGGAACTTACTAATTCATTGCCATTAATTGTTCTGTACTTCTGTAAATTTATAATTTGAATTCAGATACAAATTCAGTTGGATGATCTTTGGAATCCCTTCCAGCCAAAGCCATTCTGTGAATTTGTGTTTAAAAATGGTTTGGCTTTTTTATTTATTTACTTCTTTTTTTTTTTGATACAGCACTGGAAAGGCCCATTTCTGTGCTGCATTACTGTCTGTTTATTCTGGCAGCTCTATTTTTATCTATTAGATTTAATGCAAGAAGCCCTCTCTCCTGAAGAATTTATGGTCTGGTATTCTTGAATGTGCTGTGTCAAACCCCATTAAGATTTTAAAGCCTCCTAAAGGAAGTGCCTGTAAAGTTATATTAGTTTGGAGTCATGATTTTAAAAGTTTAAAAATGTGAGAAAATGGGTTAATAAATTTGGATTGAAAAATGCCACAACCTTTAAAATGAAAAAAATGTTTGGTTTGGTTTTCRTATTTGGAAAATTAAATGAAGTGTATCTAAATCAAGTTTGCATTCAAAGTTTTTTTTCATAGCTGAGTAGGGCCTGGTTTCTCTTTGAGTTAACTTGATAGATTCCAGTTTATTTCTGAAGACAGAATGTTTATTTGGGGAAGATGAGGGGATGAAGTGTAAAGATGATTTTTTTTTTGTGAACTCAGAGRCAGCAAAGAAGCTGAGGGATATATTTGTCCCTTGTATAAGTAGTTGGTGTCACCTGGATCCTCTGCTTTGCTYCTTCAGAGCTGTCTCTGGAGCTCAGGCACATTTGTATTGGAGGGGGTACATCATTTGTCCACTTTTCTTTCTTGAAAATGTTAATTTCTGCTCTTTTCCTTGGATTTRCCTGTTTTATTTTCCTCCTTAGTTCTGTCAAAGCTTTTCCTAATTGAGGAAATGAACTAGACTGAGTTAAGGGGTYTGGTTAAGAAATTCAAACTGTTATCAAAACAAGAGGTGCCARCCTAAAGCTGAACACTAATTCCATGCAGCCTCTGCTTGTTTTGTACTGTGATAGCATCTGAGCATGTGTTAGCACTTCAGTGAACTTCTGGGGTTAAAAAGGAAAATTTAAATTCAAATTCTGTATGCAACATCTTAGAAAACCTCCTGTAGCAGTAATGAGGAAATGGGTTTATATTCAATTTGTTACATGCCTACAATAGAATCATCTTTGGAGCTTTTAGTGTGAAACTCTTATCAGCATATGCAGTTTTAAGCTTTGAAGTGTTGTGCTCTTATTTTGCAGGTTGTACCTGATCAATTCTCCCGTGGTGAGAGCAGAAAACCTGAGGTTCAAGGAGGAGGGAGTGCGGGATATCCTGAAGGATGTGTTCCTGCCCTGGTACAACGCCTATCGCTTCCTGGTGCAGAACGTGCAGATCCTGCAGCACAAGGTGCAATCCCTGGGGCTGAGTGCAAGGGATTGTGTGCTCCTTCAGGGTAAAAATGAACCACCATTGTAGGCAAATGGAGATTGGAAGGGAGGTTTGGACTCTGGAGGTCATCTGATCCTTACCTCCTTGTTCTAAGCARGGCTGAATTCAAAGTCAGATCGGGTTGTGTATAATCCTTTACTCTACATTTGTTGTTTGCTGTTTGTACCCCATGTATAAAGCTGTAATCACCTGCATCTTTCTCTTCTTGACTGAGCTTAGTAAATGGAAAGCAGAGYAAGGTGGGGACTGCCAAGGCTTTTATTTCTCAGATTAGAGTGCTCTKGACTCCTTTTTATTTTACATCAATGGGATGCTGCTGCATTCAGCCTTGTGAAAGTGGAGGTGCAGACCTGGTGTTTGTGGAGTCAGGACACACTGACAATTCCCACCTCACTGGGAGCACCAGTTCAAGCCCCATGCACTGGAGGGGATCCCTCTAAGCTGGCCCTGCTAAACCTGGCTGGTTTTTAGTTTCTCCTGTTGGTGTTTCCAGAGCAGCTGGGGGCAGCAGGTCCCACGGATCCTGCCTTAGTGCTGCTGCTTTGTCTTTGCTGTTCCCCTGGGAGGTGTGGGCAGCACAGCTCCAGCCCAGGAGGATCTGTGCAGGGGGATCTGGATCTGTCCAGGGGGATCTGAATCTGTCCAGGGGGATCTGAATCTGTCCAGGGGGATCTGTCCACGGGAATCTGTCTGGGAGGATCTGTCCAGGGGAATCTGTCTGGGAGGATCTGTCCACGGGAATCTGTCTGGGAGGATCTGTCCAGGGGGATCTGTTGAAGTTCCTCTGCAGGGCTCAGCACACCCAGATTGAACATGAGCAGAACTGCAAATCAGTCAGCAAAGTTATTTTCAGTCGTGGCTGCTGTGACAGTTTCTTGGACTAACTCATTTATTGGAACTTTAATTATGAATCTGCATTAAAATGCTTAACTTGGGAATACTCAGTCCTGAATACATTAGCCACAGCAAGAAGATTGTCTTCTGTAACGTGACAGTTATTTTTTTAAAGTTAAATTTAAATGCAACTTAGAGAAAAGATTCAGAAATGGAATGAAAAGAAAGGCAAATCACAAAAGCAATAATGCTTTAGACTTGTAGATTACATTTGAAGTCTACTAAAAATGCTGGATGAGTGACAGCAGTTTCTACACTTTCAGCGTGAAAGCAAGATTAAAATTTTTCTTATAGTAATTTTTCATTAAAATTGAAGATTTGATGTGTATATTGTATAGTTTCTATTGAAACCAATTTTAATCTTTCAGCTGAAATTAATGACAGCAGGTTAGAGCAGACTTTGATGGGAGAGTGGGAGGTAAATGAAAAGTCCAAACCTTGCTCCTTCATGAGCAGTTGCAGTGGCAGYCTGGTCACTATGGAGAGCTGCCATCTGAACCAATAAAGGCAGCTGACTTCAGAAATCAGTAAAGAGCTGGCTTAAATGATTGAGTTTATCCTATTTAGCAGCCACTTYGGGGAAGAAAGCTTGCTCACTCCAGATCCTAATATTTAACAAGTCCTTTTTAAGGACCCCGAGACAGCATTCATCAAACAAACTTAGGCGTTGCCCCCAAAATACACTTGTTTATCCTTTTTGACCTTTGAATTTGYCTAAAGAGTCCTTTATAGCTTTTTGCTGTGATCCTGTTAAATCTTACAATGTCAGCTCAGTTGGGGATGGAGGACCCCAGTGGAATRTCCAGGTGCTTAAGCAGATAGTTTTGGTAATTCAGCAGATGGATTTTTTTCTTTCTGRATAGTGAAACCCTTCCTATGCAGCACATTAGGCAAAAGTATGTGCTATTGGAGGTGATAATGCTTAAATTACATTTCGTGCACAGGTTTAAGCAACTTCTTCATTGTATTCTGCTTCCTGTAAGAGAGAAAGTAAAATCCCACTCTTCTGGATTAGGTATAATAATGATTTAATGCTTATTGTAATTCCCTCTGTAGTTGTAGTGGCCTCCTTTGCAGTTAAAAGTTGTGATGAGGCAGCAGTGGGAGCAGGTTTTCCACAGCTCCTTCTCTTACATACCTGTGTCTGGAATTTAAGGTTTACGGGTAGGAAAGCAGTGTAATTCAGGGAAGATGCCAGAATAATGCTGGCTGACAGGTAATTGAAAATAGAGGTTTGATTATACACCCTGATGAYTTGGAAATGTGCTTTGTGTTTTTTCTGTTGATGATAGGATGAGGGAAGAGAATTCCTTTACAATGAGAACACAGTTAAGGAGAGCAATAACATCATGGATAAATGGATCCTTTCTTTCACCCAATCCCTCATCCAGTTCTTCAAAGCTGAAATGGCAGGTATGCACTTTTGCTCAGGGGGTCTGGGAGTGTTTCACATTTGATTGGAGAACTTTCCATTCCATCCAGAGAGTCCCAAATTCCATGAGAGACTTGGTAAAAGGAAGGAAATCTTTAACCAGCTACCATAATCCATGGAATTCTGCTTTCATGGGTGTTAAGTCAGTTTTTGCTATGCTTGTTCATGAGATTTCAGAAAGTGTTGAGGCTTTTTTTGTCCCAGCTAATCCTGTGAGCTCAGTGGTGGAGCTTGTTGCTGTAACAACGTCTGCTGCAGTGCTTGCAGCAATTAATAATATTCTAATAGTCATAGCAGTGAAAAGGAAACCAAATAGAATTTGGAGAAGCTGTAAAAAATGGGATGAAATRGGCAGTGCTTAAGTCAGCTGAATAAAATAATTCTGAGAGGTACATGRGCACAGTGTAGTCCCATGGAGAGAGTTTCTTTGGAGTTATACTGTGGGAGTGTGTGCAGCAGGATGGATGGTGTTAGGATATGACAGCTGTAGGARGATTTGTCCAGGTTTTTCTTCCTGCTTGTTGTCCTTTTCATCATCCYGTCCCTCTCAATGCTCACATTATGTTAAGAGACCATGAACTGCAAAGAGGAGATGCCTCAAGAGCCCCCTGAAGTAGGTGATAAACTGCAGATAAAGTCCCAGAGGGATTTGAAGAGCTTTTCTTGCATTTGAGGGCTGTGGAAGCCCAGATACTGAAAAGAAGGTGGCTTTGGCCATTGGCATTCCCTCCATGAATGAACAATAACACCCCTCTTGTCTGTGATCTTAAGCTGCCCTCAGAAGTTTTAGAAGCTTGGGAAGGAAGGTGTTAAAGGGGATGACAAATAAAGAAACAGCTCAGTGCCAGATGTGAGTTTGAGGACACAGGACAGTCCTGCACTGTGCTCCTCTCTTGCTTTCCCCCCTGACTGATGTGATTGTGGCTCTTACCAAGACCAGTACAGTGAGTTTATCCTGTTCTGGTAGATGAAATAGGTCATTTGGTACAAACAAAATTCATATGAGCTYGTCTAAGAACATTTCATTAAATGAAGAAAGAATCCTCAAGCTACCCAGCCCAGGGATGTGATGAAAGCTGGCTCTCATTGATGAAAATGTGCCTYCTTCCTGCAAGTTGTTATCGCTGAATTTGGATGGTAGTGTGTGTCAAGTTTTTTATGTTGCCAAGCAGAAATGAGCAGAGCCTGGGCCAATTCATGTGCAGGATGTAAAAAGGAAAATACTCTGAGGGGCAGCAGAAAATTCCTTTGTGAGTTTGTGAACCCGGTATCCTGGAGCAGTGCATGGTTTAAACAGAAATATTTGCAGGAAGGTGAATAGAAACTTGAATTCTCTGGATTTCTGAGGAAGAGAAATCTGACAAAAAGGGATGTGTCAGTGACCATATTTAGAAAATAAGAAGATCCTTCCAAGCAGCAGGAGAGAATTCCTGCTGGAAAATGAGAGTGTAAAGACTTTCAAGGCAGTAGTGTTGGTATGAAATGCTGCTGGTTTGTGTTAGATGAAGATAACATCATCYGCTCATCAAATGAGTGGCAGTCACATTTGGAGGGGATTAATAAACAGTATTTTTCAATTTATTTTTCTGCATAAACTCTGGATTCAGTCAGGCAGATCTTAATGAGATGTAGTGAATTTGTATACTGTGACAWGATATTCCGGTGCTAATCTCTTTTACAAACCTATTCTGGATTTTTTTTTTAAAAGGATTTTCTACTTCATATCACTTCAGGTAGSAAAAATGTCAGCAAGAGACAAGGAAAGATTATAATGGGGACTGATAATGTCAAATGCTCAGTAAAGGAGATAAATATAAATTCCTGCAGCTGGAATAAGAACACCCAGGTTTGAAAGTGGCAGTGCTGAGGAGACACCACTGAGCAGGGAAATGCTGCAGTTGGGCTCTGCTTCCATTTCATCCAGTGTCTTTCGGACAGGAGCTGAATTTTACACCGATCTGCCTCTGGAAAAATGTTTCCATTAAGTCCAAGTTATGTTAATTCTGCCCCAGTTTCTCCTGGCACTGGAAGAGGCAGCAGTGTCAGCCCAAGTGGGGTCAGTGTGGGATTGACCTCACCTGAATAGGCTGAGGAGGAAGGGGAGGAACCTGTGCCCTCTCCAACACTGGGGTGCCTGAGAGAGCCTGGAAAACTCCAGAGAGGGGAACAAAGCTCTGCTGCTCCTGGATGGGGAGAGCTTTGCCTTCCAGGGCTGGGTGCAGCAGGAGAGGGAGGCCCAGCCCAGCAGAAACCAGCCCCRTTCCCAATATTGCTGGAAAATGGCACAAGTTGTATGTGCTGAAACCTGACGTGTTTCAGGGGTGTAAAAATTCTGTATTAAAAATCAATAAGCCTCATTAGGCTTTTATTTTCTACTAAAGTGCCCAATACAAGCACTTATTTCACTAAAACATCTTTTCTCCTGATGACAGAAATTAAAAGAAGTGTGTAGTGTCTCTTTCCAAAGAAGAAAATTTCACAATTTGATTACAGCTATTGAGAACAGAAATGCATTTGTCCAGGCTAATACTGTATTTCTTGTTAAAGATACACTCTCCCCAAAGGATRGGATTTTTGATTATTTTAAAATTTATTTATAACTTGTCTCCTAGATCAATAATGTACAGCTAGAGGAAAGGTTAGGATTTTTTAGGAATACAAATTCCCCTGTAAATCATGTCTTCCCCACTATAGTGTGACTCTTCTAGGCATTTCCTTTTTAGGTTTAAATCCCAGCTTTCTGCCTTTAAAAACWCTTCTGTTTTACAAAACACAGTGAAAAGTGTGGAGCTTTTAAAGCCAAGATCCATTTTACTCAGTAGCTGCTTGATTAATGAAMCTGAGTCAGAATGGGGTTCAAGAAGCTCTTGGCTTTCGGAGAAGTGAAATACAAGTTTTCCCTTAGAAAATTGAGTCCTGTAAAAGGTCCATCCCCCCAGCCCCCCTGGTTTTCTCAGGAACAGCTGAAATTTGTTTCTCTGTTGCGTAGTGATGCTGGTGATGACCTTGGTGCTGGCAGCTCTCCATGATTTCAGTTACACACAACTTGAAAATACAGCTCTGTTTATCTCTTACCTCATCAGCCTTGCTGCTGCTTCTTATTCTTTTAGCTTACCCTGTTACTTCGAAAAATAGTAAAAACCGTAATTAATTCGGGGAGAGTTGGTTGAAGTAGGTGTCTCATTTTAAATCTGCTGAGCAAAAGGAAGTCTTGGYAGTAATTAAGAAAATTTTATTTTCTGTTTCTGCAATAATTTCTGTTGGACATGCAGCGCCTCGGCTGCGTTTGCAGCGTGTGCAAATGGAGGATTTGCCCAATCCCTGCGATTAATAGTCTCTTATCCACTATCCTCTTTAGCAGGCAGATAAAAGCATAAGGCTCCTATAATGTCTGTTTGTGTGGGATTAGGGCAGCAATTTGGGGGGGTGGTGGTGTTTGTCTTGAGCATGAGAATGACGTGCATCTCCAAAATCCGGTTCGAACATGATCAATATTTCAGTCCCTTTTTGGAGCTTGCTGCTGCCCCGGTGCTGTGTTTGACAGTTTGACACCAGGGCTGTGGATGATAACGTGGTTTATAAGTGAGCAGCTTGCAGAGGGCAGCTTTGAACTGCAGGAACCCTTTTCCCTTGCAGCTTACAGGCTGTACACGGTGGTGCCTCGGCTGGTGAAGTTTGTGGATGTTCTGACCAACTGGTACGTCAGAATGAACCGCAGGAGGCTCAAGGTAGGGATCTGCAGCAAACTCCTGGCACTCCCTGCTAATGGCATGCACACAATCTTGGTTTTAAGTGCTGCTACTTTGTGCCTAAGAGTGGCACAAAAGTGAACTGTTTCCTCTCTGCTTTGTTGGAAAAACCAACCAGAATGCCCAATAATTCTGTTGCACTTGCTCAGTGGAATTGACCAAAGTTAATAYAGTTTGAAAAACAAATGTACTGCATTAACACAGCAAATCTTTGAGGCCTATTAAAGTGCACTTCCTGATCCTAAAATCGCTTTTTTTCCTGGTGAATTCTTCATTTAGGGTGAGAATGGAACTGAGGACTGCATTATGGCCTTGGAAACCTTGTTTAGTGTCTTGTTCTCCATGTGCAGACTCATGGTAAGGGAATTACAGCCCGCTTTCAGGAACACTTCAATGCAGTTGATATAAAGCATCTTTCTGTAGCACACTTCCACCTCTCCCTTTTGGTTGCTTACCTGGCCCACRGTGGCAAAAATGAAGGTGTGTATCACCTGATTGATAAGGAGACATTATTATTTCTTCCCCAATGCCCCAAAATAACATTTAAATATCAGGAAGGAGGTAAATAAGTAGTATGAACTCCATTATTTATTTCAGTCTGCATTTTGAGTAATGTCCCAGTTGCAGACACTGTGTAAGCATTGTTTTTGCTGAACTGTCCTTATGTAATTCATGGTATTACTGATTCATAATGTACAAGCAATAAAGGAAAGCTGGTGATTGAATGCAACATTACAGGCACCATATACTCCATTTATCACTGAGCTGATGTACCAGAATCTGAAAACACTCATTGATCCAGCCTCGGTCCAGGAAAAGAACACTGAGAGCATCCACTACCTCATGCTCCCCCAAGTCAGGTAAGAGRCAGCTCTCAGGTGGCAAAATGGGGTTTGGTTGGTTGTTGGGGCATTTTTGTTCATTTTTGGTTTTGATTAAGCTCTCTTGAATTTTGGTCTCTTTGCTGTAGGAGAACACTTCACTTGCAGTATGCTTCACTCTCAGTTTTAGCTGGGAATTTTCTTTTCCCTCCTTATTTAGGCAGTAGATTTGTGCTAGCTTAAAGGACTGGAGATAAGAAGGGAAGCAATTAGGAGGAATGCATGTTCCCAAATTGCAATATTTTCTTAGGGTGGGCAGGAATATCCTATTTGACTCCTCGAACTGTGTTGACTCACAGCTGTAGTCCCTACCTGTGAAGGGCCCTAAAGGATCAGAGAGATCACTGGTATTGCAGTGGATTAAGTTGGTTCCTTTATCCCTGTCTGCTCTTGGTCCCTGAATATGAGAAAAATCCTTCCTTCAGCCTTGCAGCTCAGTGTGAAAGCCCTCAAGGACAGGGGACCTGACCYTGATACTTTACGTGCCAGTTTAAAAATTTAAACCTTCTCTAATGGTCTATCTTTTTATGGATCTGTATCCTTTGAGGAGGGTGTATGGTCTTCCTGAGAGCTTTAATAGTGAGAGTTATTGCAACAGGGAGCTGGAGATTGACATAATGACGGTGCTGATTTTCTGTTGCCTGGGCAAGTGCTGTGAAGAATATGTAATCAAGGAATGCAGSCCTCATCAGGAGCTGCCAGCAATAGGTCTGGGCTCCTGCAGAAGGGAGAAGGGAAGGATGGGGWGCTCTTTGCAGGGCCTCACTTCAGGTGTTTGCAGGGCTTAGCAGCAGCATTTCAAATGGCTTAGTCACCCTGTGCTGCAGTTAGTGCTGACTGGCTGCTGCATCATGCAAATGTGGGATGTGTTTGAGAGGCTTGCTCTGCTTGTCTCTGTAGTGCATTTTGTTTGGGGTTTTGTCTGGTACTAGTTGGAATTTATTGGATCCCCTGTCCGTCAGTTGTTCCCTTGTCCCATAAGAAAATGCCTTTTCAAATCCAGATTATTGCTGGAGTTTGAGTTTCACCTGGAGTTGCCAAGCACATGTTTGCATTTACTTGGAATATTTTTCTGATAATAAGGACAATATCATCAATTAATAAGAGATTTTTGGATGCAGTTACAGTAAATACCACTTTACCAGTGTGSTGGGTAAGTGCAGATRAAGCTGAGGAACTGAGCCACTTTCWCAGCTGAGCTTGAYTCAACAGCTGTGTTAAAACCCCACTGAGGTCCTGCTTGGTTGCTCAGTGTCTGAATGGAAGGGTTGCGTTAAATTTTGTGGATTTGCATTCAGTCTGTGAAAAACAGTCACGTTGTAGCTCTGCAGTGTTGTTCAGTGAKGGCAAATAGTATTGAAATACTGCCRCATAATCCTGGATGAAGCTTTCTGGAAGCAAAATATCCCATTTTGGAATTTACTCATTTCCAGCTTGCTGGAGGATGATCCTGAAACATTGGTGTTTGGAAGAACAAAAGCTTCAAAAGAGGTGGTACCATCTCAAAGCCCTGATTCAGCTGATGGGGATATTTTAGTTCTAAGTTTTGTTTTACCAGCTCWGTTCTTACTGGATTTTGGGTTTCATCTCAGTATTTTTGCTCCTCAGGTTACAGGAACTATCTTTGTTCATTTCATTTTGTGCATATTTGTCTTTTTAACTAACATCTCTGGTCTTTCTTTGATATTTGAGTGGTTTTAAAGGAACTGCCCAATTAGTGCATCTATCCAACAAATCAGAAAAAACACATTTTCAGAACATTTTCAGAGCATTTCACTGCTTGTGTAGTTGAAACAAGATGTAAATGTCAGCTCACTTAAAAAAAAAAAAAACAAACAAAAATCCAATCCAACTTCCCCCCTCCCAAAATAAAACCAACTCAGAAACCAAAAGGCAACAGAACTCCCAATCCTGCCTTGGCTCACAATTATTTAGCCAGGAAAGATGATGAAAYTCTAAAACATCAAGCTTAATATCTGCAATTTCTGAAATGATGATAAATTGAGATSCAGTGAGTTGTTGTTATGGGTAATTCATTGTTGTTATAAGTACCATATTTATAATACCTTTCTTCATCTTCTTACGATATTATTAATGTAAATTGTAGTTTTTATTGGCTATTACTACAATAGGTTGTATGACTCAATCCTCTCCACCTTGTGAGAGGTGCTAACAAAAGGTGTAAAAATAGCTTTGCTATTTGTTTTCAGCAAGTTATTTCCTCTTCATCTTCTCCACAAAGAGAGAGAAAAAGCCTATTAGTTCATTTTTCAAATTGCCCCAACCAGGGCATAATTGAGTCTGTTGCAGGAAATGTCAGAGAAGGGGGTAAAATGTTTTCAATCTTCTCAAAGAGATGTGATGACAACAAAGCAATTACAATGTTTCCTTTCTAATCCAGGGAGGATCTCATCGACAAAAAAATTGAAAGTGCCGTTTCTTGTTTGCAGTCTGTGATTGAGCTGGGACGAGTCATCAGAGACAGGAAAACCATCCCAGTCAAGGTAGGACACCTCCTGTCATACCTTGGGAATGTGTAACAGCTTTGTAACTTCGGGATAAACGTGGGGAAATGGAATAGTTCAGTTTCTGTTTTGGTTTCTTCCCCCCAGTATCCTCTGAAAGAAGTTGTAGTTATCCACCAGGATCCAGAGGCTCTGGAAAACATCAGGTCTTTAGAGAAGTATGTACTGGAGGTAAGAACATGGTGCTGAAGTGGATTGTGTCTATTGGTTACCTGAACAACCATCCCTGCTGCCCATATTAACCCCTGACAGGTAAAGTGAATTTCCAGGAGAGCTGTAAGGAAAGGGGGTATCAGTGGATGGTGTGCCAGAGTCAGTTTAGTGTTGAGAAGTACTTAATGCTGCAAACTGACCACACTGGACTGAGAGGCTGTTAGAATCTGAGCAGCTGGCATTCTCTGAAGCCATGAACCCCTCTTCAAAGGTCAGTGTCACACCATTCTTGTCTTCCATCAATCCCTGTGGGTCTGAGGGGTTTTTGCCTTGTGCAGAAATGGCATGGCCCTTATCCCGTGCCTGTTCTTGGCAGRTTAAGGATTCCTTCTTCCCTTCAGTGAGGGATCTGTAACAGCAGATCTGCTCAGTGTTTAAAATGTGCTGTCGTGTGGTGGTTGAAGCTGCCAGTGTCARGGTCAGCTGCTTTACCTTGGCCGAGAGCAAAAATGTTCATCTTCCCAAGGAGGATCAACTCACCTCACCTGTCTTGGTGAGGGCAGCCATGTCAGTCAGGGAATTTGGGAGATAAAGCACAGGAGGACCTCTGAAACTTGTTAAATATAATTCCAGCAACAGCAGCTTTCCCCAAGCCCAAATACAGAAATATGGAAAGTGTCTGAAAACTCTGCTGGGGGAATGAGCCCCGGCTCAGGAAGTCATGGCTCAGTGCACAGGACCTCTGCATCAGTGCTGTGTGCTGCTTSCTTTCAGTTACTGTGGGAGTTAAAYGCTTAAGAATTGTGCACTGGAAGAATTTTAATAAAAAAAGTCATAATTGATTTACAAGTGTAACTGTAAGGCTTTTCTGTCATGTTAACTTATTGATTATTGCTCTTAGACTTGGCAGTTAYGATCCCTCTCTTCAGAATTGCTGTTATTATGAATTAGAATAATTTCAATATCTGGGTCTCTTCAACAACAGAAATTTGTTATACTTAGGCTTGTGCCCCATTTTTTGGATCTGAAAAACGAATTTGTAGATTCTGGTTGTAGAGGAGATGAAGTTTGCTTCTTCAAATTACTTCCAAAAGGATAGTTGCCAAAATTTGTTGTCAACTTCTACAGCTAATGAAAGGCAACAAAAGAAGCTAACAATTTGTAAATTATTACATTATTGGATTGTACATTAGTATCTTTTGATTTGTATTCCTTTGCTGCTGCAGACAGAGGTGTCTCTTCTGGGGACACGAATTACAACAAACTCAGATGCCTTTGTGGAAGCACGGACACRAAGTACTGTCTATTGTCCTGCTTTTATTGTGTGTCTTAAAATTCAACAAGCTGCTGCTGGAGCTTAGTGTGTGTTTTATTGTACTGCATGGCAATCAATCCTGTTGTTTACTGGATGCTGCAGAGCTAAAGAGGTCAGTGATTACAGGCAGGCTGGGCAGCATTKCTTGGGCTGCATTTGCAGCTTTGTTCATCAACCTCCTGCCTCTTCAGAGCTTTAGAACCTTCAGTGATTGCCAGGAGTAAATTTGCAGATGCCAGAGGTAATGGGTAAGGAGAATTACACCATTTAATTTCATGTAGTTGTTTTCCAGTTCCAAAAGAACTGGAAAAATATACTTGTCAATTCTTCAGAAATTTCATTCATCGCTTTTGCAGAAGGAGCTGTAGTCTTTGATCTGCAGTGCTGCTCTCTCATCTTCAGAACACAGAAAGTCATTTAAATAAATGGATTTTAATATTAGAACTCTCCAGATTATAGAGTTGTCATGCAAAAATAGCCAAGCTCACAAAATGAAATAAACCCAGAAGGCTTTTAGCAACTGGACACAGTTGCATGGTATTCATTACTATTTGAGGCCTTTTACAAGCCGGGGTCAGGACTTCTCTTCCCAGCTGCTTCCAGGGAAAGGTTTTATCTGAGTAAATTTGACTCTGCATGGTCTGAATCTTGTTTCCATCCAACCTTTGTACTCCCTCCAATGCCCAGCCCTGTGTAGGGCTGCTGTAAAACAGAGAAAATAGACTTTTCCATCAAACCCAGGGACTGAGCTGTGAGGGGGTAAATCACTGGAGCTGTGGCTGGGGGGGGTCCTTCGGTCTTTCATTTCTTACATTATTACATAATGAGTAATGTTATTACAAATTAAATCAATTCTTTCTCTTTTTGGGCTTGCTTAGAGCCCAGCCCAGCTGAAGCACAGCGTTTCTGACATTTCTCTGTCTCTGTTCTGAGGACTGGGCTTAGCTCGGGCACGTGGCACCAGCAAAAGGCTCTTGTGTGTTCAGGCATTCCTTGTACAGCTCTTCCAGCTGCTGATGGCAATGGCTGGTTGCCTCAGTGTGTCCACATGAGACTTGAAAGATGTKTTAAGCAGCTAATTTTGAATAATTAGCAAGAGAAAATTAAGAACTATTTTAAGTCAAAGCACTGAGACTGTTATAAACAGACTTAAGGTACAGATTTGCCTGTTTTTCTGAGACTCATTCTGGGTTTTTAAATGGATAATGTGTACAAAAGAATGATTTCCTTATCTAATTAGTATAAAAAACTTGTCCTGATGGAGTTGGCTTCTTGTGATTTATCTAATCAGGCCCAAAGTCATCTTTCAATTTGTGCTRTTTTTTGGATTATTATTTCTTTTCCCCCACGAGGTTGTCATTTACAACTCGTGGGCTCATTTCCAGCAGCACCCCATTGAAACTGAATTTCTGAAGTGCATAATTTTCATTAGATTTACTAAAAGATGTATTAAATAAAATTAGATTCAGTTGTGTTCTTGGCTCCTSATGGCAGCAGGACTTCCTAGGGAATTAGGCTGCGGCTCGGAGGTTGTATTTAAGCATTATTTCTCAATCCAAATGTTTGGCTGCTCTCTAGTCCTGTCATTCTGGTGCTGCCATTCCCTTCTGCTTCCTAAATGCCTTGGAGCAGCTTGTTTGCCAAGTGCACCTGGTGATGCTGTGGGATGGTGATGGGAGCTCTCCCCACCATCCAGTGGACATTAAACATCAAATGTTTGGAGTACTGGGCAGCCTGGCAGCCAAAACCTGCTGGATTGCAGTGCAATGAGCTGTAGGTCTGTGCCTGTAGAAGAGGTGCATGTTTTGTGAATGACAGTTATACATTTTCACATTTACCAACTTCAGTCATATCCCCCTTCAGCTTTCTTCTCTCCAAAGAGTTCCATGACACCATCCTTTCAATCAGTTGTGTAAAACTTCCAAAGGCAYGATTGTGTTCCCTTTGCATACGGGGACAAAACCTGCACATGTAACTCAGAAAAATGGGCTCACACATTCCTGCAGGGGCAAAATACCAGCCCTGTCTGGGCCCCTCCTGAAGTCCAGTCCAAAGCAGGTTTGAGAAAGCTGTTTTGGCTGCAGGGCACCTGCAGAAGRTTCTCTGAGCAGGGTGTTTTTCTGTGCAATGAGGACAGAAAATGGAATGGATWGGTAAGGAAGGAGACAAAATGAGGCAGTTTTGTACAACCTCAGCCATAAARTGGTTGGTTATGGTTTCCTGACTCGCTGTGTACTGGCAGGACTGTTCCAGCTGAATTTTSCCCCTGAGCTCTGCCAGGCCATGACTCCAATGCACACGGGGAATGGGTTTAGCTCTTCAGGCAGGTGTGAGAGGGAAATGAAAAGGACTCTTGAGTAGGGGCTGATTTGAGGTGAGAGCTGGCTGATAATAACAGAGACCTGTTCCTGGAGCCTGAGGGTGAGAGTGGGGGCGGGATCTGCTGCTGCCCTTGGGTTCAGTTTTGGCTGATGGCTCGGCCCATGGAGACAGCTCCGTGTAAAACCCTTACTCCTTTGGTGCTGTGTCCCTGTGCCCGCAGTGCCCCGGTGCTGTGTCCCCTGTGCCCGCAGTGCCCCGGTGCTGTGTGCCCTGTGCCCGCAGTGCCCCGGTGCTGTGTCCCTGTGCCCGCAGTGCCCCGGTGCTGTGTCCCC